CGTCCGTCCTCAAGTTTAATTTAATGAAAAGTCTTTTGACAGAACCTATTTTATACGAATGTAGATGAAACATGGTAGTTGGGGATTGTGTTCTTGTGTAAAGACAGCCATATTTATTTAATTCTGATCCAAACCTGATAGTCTAGAAATTCCTGGAATTCATTACTGTCTTAACAAGAGCCAGCCATCCTGAGCCATATTTTATTATTTAGTGTTCTGTCTGACGACAGGTCCATATGAACAGGATCCTTCCATCCTTTTCTCGGACTGGGACCTGTTCATATACGTTCTTGGCAGATGATCCAGAAGTGGTTTGCCATTGCCTTCTTCTGTGTGTGAATGGAGTAATTGTTGGGATGCCACGGAGAAACCGGGGAAGCCCCCGGAGGAAAACTCCGTGTTGCCTAGACCACGGCCTTGCCCAACACAAGTTATAAATTCGGGCACCGCCGGGAATCGAACCCGAGACCCCAGGATTACAAGGCCAGCGTTTTAACCGCTAGACCACCGTGGCTTGTTCCTGAGCCATATGAATCCAAAATAAAGAGAAACGTGGGTGTAATGGCTACCGACAGACATTCCATCTCATAACTTTCGCAAGTGACTTGAATCTTCAATAGGCCTATATGAACATGGAGCCCAATGAACTAAGTTACGCAAAACCTCAACACCCCGGCCGTTTTAACCCCGCCCCCCCAAAGAGCCCTTGTCACCCATCTGATAGGAGGTTCGGTGGGCCCCAGAATCGGTAGCGAAGCAGTAGTATGTTGCAATAAGCCACGAAAACAACTCCTTTCAAATCCTTACTTACTAAAACCTTCATGAGTAGTTTCCCGTCTAAGTGGATGTTGTATGTAATCTATTCAATTCTCGTTACACAACTTAACAGCCAATGAGAGAGCTGTTAGCCAATCAGGAATTGAATCAACCAAGCACCAACAGACCTAGTGAGTCAGTAATTGAATTACGGCAGGAGGTCAGTCCTCGTGAGTCTATGGAACTGCTCGTCTCAAAGCTTCGCTGCTAAACAGTCCCGTTCGTTCCCAGCTAATTAATATTATTTACTGCGTCATTTTTTTATGCACAGTTTACTTTTAATGCCTGTCATTAAATTAGGTTTATGCCTTCCGTCAGAAGAGACCGTACCTATAATCCTAACTGTGCGATACAGCACGCAAATATTCCATGTCAGGACAAAGAGGATTACTGTGCAATAAATCCCTTTGAACTGGCTACCTCACAAGGGCGGCCTCATATTTCTGCCCAATTTTTTAAGTTTCAATGGTCACTATATTTCCCAATGCTCAAAATACAGCGAAATCTTACATTTCCGCAAATCTCAGTAGGCCTCTTAAAATTTTAAGGCCTACTTACATAAAACTTTGAGGAATTAATGGGAACACAACAGAAGATTTGTTTTTATAGCTGTGAAGATGATGCTCTCGTCGTTGTTAAATGCCTCCCCCCCCCACAACCCTTCCCTTTCTCCAACCCTATAAAAATCCCTACACTTCTAAGCATCTCCACTTCAGAGCTGAAGATGGAGACAGTGTGGTTCTCCGACAGCTTGGCTTCTACGTAGGAGTATACAATAAAAGTAACATCAAAACATCAGAAGTCAGGCGAAAATTGAAGGTTTCTGACGACAACGACTTAAATTCTGAATTTGATCTTTTAGAATTGAGCATCATCGACCAAATTATAAAATTACGTTTCAAAATTCGTCAGGTGTAAAATGGGTCTCTCTTCTGGATTGTAGCGCCAATGTAGTCTGTTTACGACGTTTCGGAGGTTCCTGCTGCCTCCGCCATCACGGAGCAACATTCCTGAAGACAGTAATTTATTTCAGGCGTGGGTTGCCTGCTTATAACAAATTCCTATTTCGCTATTTTATGTGACGTAAAAAGTCTTATTGTTGACGGTCACGTCAACGTTCAAGGTCACGTGTGAAAGCGTTCGCGAGGAGAGCGAAATATGACAGTTCGTGTTTTCTTGGCTGTTGGAGACGCAGTGTCTCACCGCTGTCTGGTCCTGACAGTCACTCCGAACCGATCAGATGGCCATGGGAATCTAGCCCTTCAATCGAAGAATCACTTACATGCCACATGAGGTATGTTATCATTTGTTTCTGTACACCTGTTCTTAGTAAGATGCATGCGATATCACAAGCTCGGAAATGCGTAGTCTATAGTCGCCTAGCTGGTCTTTTGTTAAGACAATTAAATCACAGAGAAAGATTTGCGAGGGACATGTTGCAAGCAAGGGAAACAAGAAATTAATACAAAATTCTTTTTTCAAAACGGTGAGAGGAGAGGCCAACCGGTAGACGTGGGTGTAACTGGGAGAATAATATTAAACTGGATCTTACGTTAGACAAATAGTCTGAGAATATACGAACTGACTACTGAGAAGAACCGGTGATGGGCGTCCGATGCTACTAAATAACTTCCGAGCTCCATAGGAAGTTGAAAAATTAAATCGCAGGTGTAAGTCGCCCACATCCTGGAATGGATTCTAAATCCGCTCGGGACGTTTCCCAGTGCTGTCTTACAATAGCAAAGACTTTTCGATCGGTTGATCATCAACCCATGGAGTCATATCACTTATAGATCAATAACAAATTAATTTTAAGGTTTACATGCGTCATGTTTGTGTTTTTTGATTAAAATAATATAATAAAATTCAGGTCAATACACAAAACAATACTTTATTTAGATGTTAAAATTTAAAATTTAAATGTTAAAATTTTAAATTTTAAAATTTTAAATTTTAAATTTGCGCTATTCATCACTATAAGGATGTTACATTTGAGCGCTTTCATTCACTTCACAACATGTTTCGATGTAATACATCATCTTCAGGTGTTGTTTTTTAAAACTATTTTATATTATAATGCATGTCTTGCAATATATTTATTATTGTAGCATGTGTTCTGTTGATTCTCCCGTTTTACGCATCTTATGTTTTGTTTAGATTATTCTGTAAATAAATGTAATAAAATTTGGAAATTATTTATTTTATTTTATATGCAAATAAGTTTTGGAATATGAACTATATAAACAAACAGAATGCAATATAATAAAACAAATTCTAAAAGAAAACGGCTATAATAATTATGAACAAAAACCAAAAAACAAGATAAAAAATGAAAATGAAAATAATAACGAAAATGATAATACTCAAAATAAATGGGCCACCTTCACGTATATAGGTAAAGAAACAAAATACATATCGAGAATGTCAGCGCGTAACTGTACTCTGTATGAAGTGCTTAAAACGGATACGTCATAAGTGTGTTTATATATATTCTCTAAACAATGATTTTTTTAAGTCATAAAAATCACTATACGTTTCGAAATATGAATCTTCTGTCATCTTCAGGCGGAAAAGGGAGACACCTGCTATATTCGGTAGACCGAGCAATTCTCGATCTGATGGACAAAGTATATAAAAACAAAGTAGATAACAATTCATAGAGTCAATGAAGCACATGTTGGCCATTCGCTTCTAAGAATTTTCTTCCGGGAATAGTCACGTGTAAAACTTACGACTTGGCTCTTGCCTACCTGAGCGGAACACCTCATTTTTGCAGAAACAACGTCCATAAACGGACTTACACAACCAGAAAGGAAAGGTTTCCACCATCGATATGCGCACATAAGTGTCATTAGCCTTTTAGGAAGGCTTGTTCTTTCCACCCCACGGAACACGTAAAATTGTCTATTTTCCCCGTAAAAATGTTAACTTTCGGAACAGGACATAAGTAAAGACGCATTCATGACTACGACCGGGTCGTTCCTTCGGCCTAAGATCCATTTTAATATTATTCCTCAATCTACTTCTCGGTCTTCGAGGTGGACGTTCAAGAGTTTTCCGCACAAAAATTCTGCAAGCGTTTCTGCGTTCCTCATTCTACACCCCAATGGAAGCCTCCTAGATGTCACTAGGCCTATCGTAATAGCACGAATGACACGTGAACATCGCGTGGAAGAAGACGTCTAATAACCATGACTTCTGAATAATGCCGAAACTTCATAAAATGCCATAAAACCGGTACCTTGACGAAGGAAATATTATTTTCCCACTTAAAAAAGAAACAATCCTACTCAGCTCACTGTTTACAGCTAAAAATGACAATGATTGCAATTACGTTGTTATGAATCAAACTGGTATCTAAATATACGCTGCTGTGGGAATTCCCAAATGCTTAAGAATAAAGAAACATCCTTTTATCCTCGCTGTTCTGTTACGTCACAGGTCATTAATAAGTCTGCACGCAGCTGATATCATCTCGCTGTAGAATCCTGTTGGACCCCACCTCCTCAAGGAATTACACTACAGGCGTCTTGATACAGAGAGTAAGTCAGAAAACAAAATTTCGTTATTTTTCATTGGATATTTCATAAGGCTTATTTTCAACTACTAATTTTATGACAGGCCTGAAACTCATGACCTTTTCTGGTCGCAATGAAAATCTAACTAATTAACTACTCGTACATTCATGAACACTAAGTTTCTATAACACTAATACCAAAGTCCGCCACTGGACACGATCCTGAGCTAGTTCTATCCAATTACAGTTCTCACAAAACGATTTTCTAAGGATCGTCTTAATATTATTTGGCCACAATCAGTTTCATTTGTATTATTTCTACTTGATTATTGATTTCCACTACCCAGCCGTACAATCAGACTCACTAAGAGCAAATTGGACGTTTTCAGTTCTTCTCAGAGCTTTTTTCGCCTCGGAGTCAATCTTAACGAACAAAACAGGGATAAGATCCTTCGTGGGGAAGAAGACCGCGTACTGAATGAGACTTTCAGGTGACAAAGAAGTAGAAAGTCGAGAGAGTTTAGGTCGCTGGGGAATAGAGTACAGTCAGAACAAGAAAGATTGCTAACTTGCAACAAACTTATTTCTCTGTAAGGCTCTATCTTGTACACGTCTACGTGGAGGTGTCTGTCTTGAGAATCTGCTAGTAGCTCACCTAGTCAAGGAATTCATAAGATAGTATAATTGCGTCATATTGTGAACCAAATATTAAATTAATTATTCGGTTTTTGTCCGTCTAATCACAATTATATTTAGAATTTACAAATAAGATAATTAAAATATCATTTTTATGTTCCACATCGAATAATCGATTTACATTTGGAACATTTTTACAACATGTTTCGGTTTCATCGAACCATCTTCAGGTGTAAAATTATATCAACAAACTTAAAACTCAATTACAATTTCTGTTGTGTAGCTTTTTGGTGATGTTCATATCCAGATTATTTTCGATTATTCGACGCGGAACATAAAATGATATTTTAATTATCTTATTTGTAAATTCTAAATATAATTGTGATTAGACGGACAAAACCGAATAATTAATTTAACAAGGAATTCAATAGAAATCCAAAGGCTCATTACTGTTCCTCACTGTGGTAAAACGTCGACTTAGATCTTCCGGTTTATAACCGTGTACACTTGTAGGTAGATACTAAAGTTTCGGAGGAACATAATGCTTCCATCTCCATGGTTTTCGCATAGCGGTGTCGAACCTTCGGTTCTGTTACCAGAGAAAGCATCGGTTGGCTTAGTCCAGAGGTTCCCAAAGTGTGGGCGCAAAGTATAAAAGTTTGGGAACCTCTGGCTTAGTCAGTCTTTTGTACACAGTCCAAGGAGTCTTATCAGTCGCCTAGTACAACAAGTAAAATAGTCCAGTTGGCTAAGATTAGCTACAAAGTGTTCCACTTAACGTGAAACCAACACCGGAACAGTAGCGAGTGAACTATCGGGAAATGAGTTAGTCATAACGCAGAACGCAGTTCCAGAGCAGACACTTGTCAATCAGTGAAGTCACGGCCGTTTGTCCTTTGCACCGAAATGCATTTTACATGTTTTGTTTTCAGCCAGAGTCATCAAGTTATCTGGTTCACATATTAAACCAGTTCCGTCACGGCCATTCGAAAGTAAAACATTGCCGCTGATCAATCATGCACTCAGTACAACACCCGTCGTAATCTTATGTTCGTTTCCGTAGCTTTATGTCCCAAATTCATGCTGTAATGCCCATGGAAACAATCATTACCGTGACGACAAGGCCGCATAATGCTACAGAGGTTTTTATCACTTTATGTTCCGGGTATACACACATAACAAGAGGCCCGATGAGACTCCCCTGAAAATTATCGTAGACCACAGAATTTCGAAAATTACTCATTAAAAATGATTAATAGCTTTTATTTGATCGCAATTAACAGCATATACAGCCTAACTGCCAGTTTAAAGCATTGTGGATGTTACAATCTCTATTCTGCTTCGAGAATCAAACGAGGCGCTGGGATGATAGCTCTGAATTTTGAAGCAGGAACTTAAGGAGGGGCTTTAAGATTATTTAAAGGCGCTTTTTAAACTGAATTTGCCAGGCCTAGCGTTGAACGGGATAATGTGGAAGGCATGCATGAGGAATTACGACCAATCACGACCAAAATAACCTGTTTAAAAGCCGATATTCGAATCTAGTTTTCTCTTGGACATTAGAAGCGTTACCATAAAGTTATCTGATATTCCAAAAAAAATATCCAACACTCATGGGAACTAAAGGCAAATTATTTACCCTACACAAGGCGTCACTTAAAAGTTTTGACATGAATAAAGTTATCCCAAAAAGACGTATAGAACGGATTTGTAACTTGCTGTTATTTGTTTCGATTTTCGCACTTGTGACAAATAATTTCAAGACCGACAATGCACAATACACGCTGACAGTTTCCCACTTTTCAATAAACCGTGACTTAAATCGGAGGTCAAACAGGTGAAATTGCCATGATTTCATGATGACTGCAAGTCATTCACCTTGGAGGAGGTAAACACTTCAAGTTATGTGCGTCACTGTTCGTTGTTTATGTGAATCAGCTACTTCGCTCGGTTATTTGCCCACTTCTTCGTAATCTTCGTGGCCACAATATAAATGTTCTCTTCAGATACAATAACACAGACGCAAAAATTATAACATACTTGAAATTACAGGACAGTGACACGACGTTATGAAGCATTAAAATGTTCAGAACGATACTGAAACAAGAATTCGTTAACCATCTTGTTTATTGGGTCCTAAT